CACACATTCACATTCACTCTTTTTTAGGTCTTTGGCATCTAGGGACTGCTGCCCAGGGACTCCAACCCGCTTAGTTCTAAGTTTGCTGCCCAGGGATTTTCAACCCACGTAGTTCTAGGGATTACTGCCCAGGAATTTGCAACCCATTTATCAGAATTTAGGCATTACTGCCCAGGGACTCAACCCATATTTCAACCACGCGCTGGTAATGAAAAATTGTTTCTCACCCTCGTCGTCAATCTTATTCTGGTATCAGATGCCGTCAATCAGCAGCCCAGGATCAGGTGTCGGAGTACTGGCCTGAGTGAGAATTCACTCCCCAGGTCTTTCCCCAGAACCTGGTTCTGGCCGTGCACGGTTTTCAGTCGTTCTCCACCTGATCCTTAGGTTCTGCTTAATTTGTTGGCATCCAGCTTGAAGGACCAAGTTATGTTAGGTTTATTCTAACATATATGACGACAAAGTAACAACACAAAAGACGTCTTGATTTTTTACTTGCAAGGGGAGAGTGTAGCTTACTCTTCGGGCAGCTTCCTCATCAACTCCGAGTAGCCACACCCTTCCTCTGCACTTTTATTGAGTTTACAAAAGTCTCAAATTACATCTCATGTGATCGTGTGTGAGTACGGAGTAAGAAGGAGGGAGCGAATGGGGTGTGACTGTGTCTGGTAATTTCTCCATCAGTCTTGAGCACACTAGATTATAATATGAGAAGCAAACAGTTTCTTAAAGCGACAGTACAGCATGAAGCAATGATAATAAATTAAATTCTTCCAACACAAGGTGACCCAGAAAACACAAGTGTTGTCGTACTGCTACTCGCAAAATACCTACTTAAGAAATGTGATGAACACAAAAGTAATTGAATAATAAGTTTTTTTGTAGGCTGTGTCCAAAAATGTTTCTAAAGAGTGATTTGACTGGAAGGTTGGTTATTTATTATTGATAAAATAAATTAATGGAATCCTACTAACTGCTTATTTACATGTGATTCTTATTAACACAATTTATAATTATTTAAAATAATAAAAAAAGTAAACACTCAAAACAGGCCTTCCCAGACAGAGCTAAATGGAAAATGATTACCAAAGATGCTTGACGTGGCAACAACTTGCCCTTTGACTCACCAAGGCATTGGCAGCGGTGACTGTTCCTTGCTTCTTAAAAACAGGAGCCAGTTTTGCCATCTGTTCCACTGTGGTCTGAGGCCGAGGGTGTTCGTCCTGAGTCACAGGAACCTTTCCCTTCTTAGCTTTTATGTCAATGGGGGCGATTTCTGCTGCGAAGTGACCAGCCTCATGCCCTGTACGTGGAAAAAAGGTCATCATTTAGTCACGGCAGTCTTTGCACTAATTGGCTGATATTACAAAAACAACACTGCCAACATAATAAACACGTGTAAGAGAGGCAGGTCAATGAAGACGACTCTGATCTTACCAGCCTTCCATCTCTGTTGTGTCTGATATGTGTAGTTATCACAGTCTTCCCGGGTGATTTGGTATTTCTCTGCTAGGTTTTCTGCTGTTATGCCCATGGGGATTTTTATATGGAGGTCAGTAAGACCGGCCCACATAGTGTCCTCCAGCTACAGTGGAGAAAAAGTCAAAATGCTGCATTAGACAAACACTGAGTCAAGATTTAGGAGACTAAACGTCAACCTTTAAATCAAATCCAAACTTAGTTCCAAATCGAATGTTGCGAACAGCATACGGTGCCTGACTCATACTCTCAGAGCCCCCACATTTATTATGACAAGTATGGCGTTTAAACAGGTTCATGAACTCATTGAGCTTTGTCACCATATCTCTCAGCAATAGGTTAAATCCCCTTCTTATAAATGGGCAACTCACTGATCTAGTGTAATCAACATAAACTTTGACCAAAGTATGAGTTTACTCTTATCTGAATTAAACTTATAGTCCAAAGATTTTGATTCAAATCTATTAATTTATTGCTTTTCGTATCATTTTTTTACCCCTGACTTATTTTTGTCTGCGTACTCACCTGAGCACCACTGACAATGGCCTGAAAACCAGATCCACACAATCTGTTCACTGTAAGTGCAGGCACTGGAACTGGAACACCACACCTCAGACCCACGTGACGAGCGTGGGTCTGAGCCCTGAAAAAAAAAACAGTAAAAGATGACAGAATGTCAGTACATACACAACATTTTTAAAATGCAGTAAACATCGTAACAATATTCACTAGTTTCTTACTTGCATGACATTTCCCATAATAACACTGTTTATCAGCTCTGGTGCCACACCCCCTGCAGCCAGGGCAGCTTTGGCTGCATACTCTGCTAGGTCTGTCGCACTGTGATCCTTCAACACACCACCGTAGGTGCCAAATGGAGTGCGCTTAGCAGCTACGACAAAAACACCTGTAGAGAAAAGAAGAAGAGACATGCTGTAGAAATGGAAGACACAATTGTTGGGGCTGCACAATATGTGGGAATTTAAATAAATGTCGCAAAATAATGTATATTTTAGGCATGTCCGATAATATTGGCCTGATATTAGAATAATTATGTAATATCTGTAAGAATCGTTATGGATTTTTCCTTCTATAATGAAAACCCAATAACTCCTTGCTAACTGACATGACCTAAAAATAGTTTTGGGGCTGTATATTGCAGCTCATTTAATTAATCTATTTTAATAATCAAGAGACGGTATGCAGAATGCTGGTGCCAGCAATTCATACAGTGGTTAGTAGAGATAGATAAATAAACATTACCAGGCCTATATGGGTATCGTTGATACAGGAATTGGAAAGTAAGTGTTTGGACAATATCAGCAAAAAGTTAATATTGGATATCCCTAGTATACTTCCTCACAAAAAAATTCTGATGATCCTATTGGTTTTATGTGTGAAAAAGCCTTAATGATGAGTTTTTATCCATTTGTTAATTAGAAGTAAAAAAAAACCATGGCCATATACATGATGTTATGTTAGTCAGACTGTAATTGATGTTTTATATAAACCACCAAAAATAATACTTCAAACACTGTATACATGTACATAATTTGTATTTTAGAAAATAAAAAATTCTGCACAAACGATTCTAAAATATTGATAATTATCACGTTCTGACTCATTCATTTGCCCTGTAAGTGAGAAAACTGCCAAAATAACCCTACAGGCAGAGGGCGTGTTGCCTTTGAAATGCTGTGGGGGTAGGTTTGTTTTCTCAGCTTAGGAAAACAATAAAACGGACAGCTTTACACAGAAATGTTAACATATATAGCTGTAAATGTATAATGCAGCACTGTAATTCAAAGTGATAAAATACATAACATTTTTAAAAAATATCTTACAACAGTCAGTATATAGCGCATTGTGCATCTGCATAGAGATCTGTTACCTTTCACCTACATAACACTGACGACATGTTCACACGCTCCAGACACGAAATGTTCAATTAGAAAGGCTTTAACTAATCATGTTTATCTGCAGAGATGTTGGATTTATTATGCAATGATGTAATTTTAACACGAAGTGTGTAAAATGACACCACTGTTGTCAACGAACCTGCTGGCAAGAGACAAGAGTGAAGCTTACCTCTGAGAAGTGCCATGATGCTGATTCAACACCACACTGCGGTCTGACACTGGATGTTGGTTTCGCCCTGATCCCACGCCAAAGTCAACAACAGAGAAGTCAGGCTGCTGCGACCTCTCGCCTCAATAATGCTGGTGCTACTACTTTTTCTTCTACGTCCGCTTCAGCTCCGTCTTTTTCTATAGGTCTAAACAGCAGTTAATTTTCATCTACTGCCCCCTTCCGGGATCTGAATGAACATTTCCTTTTATTCAATGACTGCTGTTTTCCAGTGCTTTTCAAACTGTTTACCTGTCATACCACCTTCGATAATATTCCAAGTAGCATCAGTATGACCGCCATTGATATATAGCAGCGCATTCGTTTCGCTAAGTGCAGTATATAATTTTGTTCCTCGGCGTTAGCCCATGTAGCAGCCACCAGGGGTCACCTACCTTTTTGAAACTGAGAGGGCAATCCGAAAAGCTACTTGTTTGATACCGACTTCCCGAACAATGTAATAATCATAAGTTCTGGGACATACAATAGTAGACAAAACTTTCTTTTTACTTAGTATAATCTATTTGGGCCAGACGTTTGTTAAGGTTTATGTTATTCTGGCTTACCTTAGTTATTTTAAGGACTAACCTTGTTATTATTTTTGTGAATTATTTCGTTTTACTTGGATCCTCACAACCTATTCTGGTAAGTCTACCATATAAAGAAGTTATTTAACAAATACGAGACACAATTAAGTCAATTTTATGAAAATAATGGAGCTTGCGCCAGGTTGACGTCATCAACCTGCGTCACTTCGCAGAACCCTCAAGCAAGGGGTCGAAACGACACTGTGAGTTACTGTGTACATGTGATCCTCCCTATTTCTTGAGTGTGCGTTTTTACCGAGACCACACACAAGGAAAACATGTCTCTGGCTCTGTCGCGATGCTTCTGCAGGGTTTTGTCCCGACCGAGAACCGCGTCTTGGTAAGATTCTATTGTAAGGAAACGTTAGCTAGCCGAAGCTAGCATAGCAAAAGGTTACTCTGTGGATAAGTGACAGCAGGATGTCATGTGTGGTGGAAAGATACATTGTTCATCGTTGTTTGTGTTTACAGCGTCCCGTGTGGAGAACATAATGTAGTCAGTCATGTAGTCAGCATTAGTCCATGGTTTGCTCCAGTGATGACTTTAAAGACGACAGCTGCACTCAGGTATGGGTTAATTCAACATCATTCTGCAGAAACAATCGTCCCAGGAATAGTCAAAGTATATTCAGGTTGCTTTAAAAAGAATATAGATGGACATTTTCAAACACGAGTCTTTACCCCACAAAAATATCAGGAGAGTCATTAGTAAGGGTCCAACATTATGACCTTTGTATTGTGTTCCTAGGGCAGAACCACGGAAAAAGAAGAAGGTGGACCCTAGATGAGAAATGATGGCAAGAGAACGTATAAAGAAGAAATTAAAGAAGATGGAGAAGGCCGTACCTGAATTAATCCCAATAGAAGATTTTATTGTTCCAGTCAAGTACATGGATGAAACAAGGTAGAAATAATTTACTGTTGTTTTTCAACGCTTGACTTGCACTAGTGAATGTGTGGAGATTTCATGTCCAGTTTGGAGTTTCTTAGAGATAGACAGACATCTAAACCCAACCATATTTTTTTTTCTTATGGATAAATCAAGCCAGATGAATGTTGTCAGTGGTTATGCCCCACAGGTGGGCTGGGGGTTGGAAGAAAAGGAGAAGTTCTGGAATGAGCTGGATTGGGTGATAGAGAGCAACCCCAGGGGAGAGAGAGTGGTGATTGGAGCAGACTTTAATGGTCATGTAGGGGAAGGGAACAGAGGAGATGAGGAAGTGATGGGCAGGTTTGGCGTTAGGGATAGAAACTTGGAAGGACAGGCAGTGGTAGCTTTCACAAAGAGAATGAAAATGGCTGTGGTAAACACCTACTGTATTTCCAAAAGAAAGAGGAACACAGGGTGACTTACAAGAGTGGAGGCACACAGATAAATTATATTATATGTAGAAGAGGTAATCTGAGGGAGATTAGAGACTGTAAGGTGGTGGCAGGCAAGAGTGTAGCCAAACAACATCGGATGGTAGTGTGCAAGATGACGGTGGGGGTGAAAAAAAAGGAAGACAGTGAAGACAGAACAGAAGATCAAGTGGTGGACTAAGGAAAGAGAAATGTTGTGAAGACTTCAGGAAGGAAGTAGGGGCAGTTCTGGAATTCCCAGATGATTGGAGAGAAAAGAGGGCAAAGAGACGTGGTGGTGGAATGATGAAGTCCAGGAGAGTGTGCAGAAAAAGAGATTAGCGAAGAAGAGATGGGACAGTGAGAGAACAGACTAGAGTACAAATAGAGGACAAGGGAGGTGAAGTGGGAAGTGGCCAGGGCCAAACAAAAGGCATATGAGGAGTTGTACAAGGGTTTGAGGCAGGAAGTGGAGATTTGTGAACAACAGTATGGTTTCATGCCTAGAAAGAGTACCTCAGATGCAATATTTATCTTAAGAATGCCAATGGAAAAGTACAGAGAAGGTCAGAAGGAGCTGCATTGTGTATTTGTAGATTTAGAAAAGGCATATGACAGAGTGCCAAGGGAGGAATTGTGGTTTTGTATGAGGAAGTCAGGAGTGGCAGAGAAGTATGTTAGTTTGGTGCAGGACATTTATGAGAATAGTACAACAGTGGTGAGGTGTGCTGTTGGAAGGACAGAAGACTTCAAGTTGGTGGTGGGACTACCAATCAAGGATCGGCCCTGAGCTCCTTCTTGTTTGCTGTAGTGATGGACAGATTGACAGATGAGGTCAGACTGGAGTCCCCATGGACTATGTTGTTTGCAGATGACATTGTGATCTGTAGCGAGAGTAGGCAGCAGCTAGAATAGAACCTAGAAAGGTGGAGGTTTGCCCTAGAGAGAAGAGGAATGAAGGTCAGTCGTAGCAAGACAGAGTACATGTGTGTAAACGAAAGGCAGAACAGTGAAATAGTGAGGCTACAAGGAGCAGAGGTGGTGAAGGTGCAGGAGTTTAGGTACGTCAAGCCATTTGTAGTTCCTTATCCACCCCCCACTTACCTACCAGTTTAAAAAGGTTGAAAAGAAAGTACAGAGCAACACAACAACAAACAGTAATTGTGGCTGAATAAAATGGCTAAGGCCATTTATTCTGTGTAAATTAGTTTTCTTGCCCAAGGGAATCTCCTACTTGTGTATTTTTATTTTCATCAAAAAGTGCCCTATCTGTGTATTATTTTCCCATGCGGTACTTTCAATGAACATCCATTTGGATACTGACATTTTATTTTAATTTGTGTTTGTATTTGTATCTCCGAGGATACGCTCACAGCCACATTTGACATTTGAAGAAAAGGAGCGTCAAGCCCTGTTGCTGAAGGAGTGGAGTCTATACAAACAGGTCACCACTTAACTTCTCACTCTTATGCAACCTCCATTACTGAGGTTTTCATGGAGAACGCTGCTTCTAACCTTTGCTCTCATCCAAAGCTGATGTGGGCTTAATTACCGCTTTCTTACAGAAGCAGCATTTGGATGAAGTGAACGCTGTTGATGTTGCTCTTGAAGCACAGAGAGAAGCCTGAGGTTGGAGTCAGAGGAGCTGAACCAGGCGGCACTGACACCAGACCCACTGTTGTTCCCCTATAGTCGTGAAGGTCCTGCTTACACACCAGCATAGACCAATTATGATGCACCTGATGGGACATACAATGACATCACTAAAGTTTACACTCAGTGATGGTGAGGAACAGACTTGAAAATATCTGGAATACTGTGTGTTTTTGTATGTGCATGTTAATAAAGATAAATTACATCTTTTCTTTTTTTTAAATATCACTTTGAGAATATTGGACATCTCTGTTCTTCAATTTCTCCGATTTACACTAATCGAAATAGAAAAAACCTCAACTGACTCCTCTCGATGTGGAGGAGCAGCGGCTCTACTTCGAGCTCCTCTCGTGTGACAGAGCTCCTCACCCTATCTCTAAGGGAGCACTCTGCCACCCTGCGGAGAAAGCTCATTT